GTCCCAAAAATAAATAAACGTTGAAAAAAAAAATTAAAAAAAAATGATTAAAACCAAAACAGTACTTATGTTTAAAGATAAGCATCACTGGGGCGCCTGGGTGGTGCAGTCGGTTAAGCGTCCGACTTCGGCTCAGGTCACGATCTCGCGGTCCGGGAGTTCGAGCCCCGCGTCGGGCTCTGGGCTGACCGCTGGGAGCCTGGAGCCTGTTTCCGATTCTGTGTCTCCCTCTCGCTCTGCCCCTCCCCCGTTCATGCTCTGTCTCTCTCTGTCCCCAAAATAAATAAACGTTAAAAAAAAAAATGCATTTCTAGCTCCCTGGCTTTTTTACCAGAACAGGCGACAACCGGGATGTGGCGGCGGATCCCCGTTCCAGACGCCCCTCTGCAGCTGCGCCCCACTTTACAGACGTGCGGCGGAAGCTCAGAAAGGGTAAGGACGGCGCTGAAATCGAAGCTCCTAACTCCTCGGCCGCACAGCGCTTCTCCCCGCCGCTTGCCGCTGGGGTCTCAGGGTCGACCCCCCCCCCCCCCGCTCGTGCCCGGACGCCCCCCTACCTTCCAGGGCCAGGGCGGTGAAAACGGGGTCCTCGGAGGGCGCACCCCGCACGTCCTCCAGGATCTGCTCCACCGTGGGCGGCGCTGGGCGAGTGGGCAGTACCACCCGCTTCTTGGCCTTGGAACCCATCCCTGGAGGCGAGAGAAGAGGCACTTGACGGGGGCGTCTCCCTCTCGGCGTTTCCCTGGGCCCTTCCTCCGTCCAGTGAACTCCTACACACCCATCGGAGCCCCGTGCCCGGGGAAGCCCACCCTGCCCCGCCCCGCTGGGCTCGCTTCGCCCCTGGCCCTCCCAACGACCGACAACTTGGGGCCAGGGGTTTCCGCCTCCGACTCCATCCCCGCCTCAGTTTCCCCGTTAACGCCCCGAAAGCACTACCGCCTGACCCAGGCGCGCGCGCTGAGCCGCCGGCACCGCCGACAACCCACTTCCGCTTCCGGTCGCAGCACGGTCCCGCCCAGCAGGCACGTGACGCGTACTTCGAGCCTCCTCCGGCACCTGCCCGCCGCTCGTCAGGAGGCCACACCCCCTCTTAAAGGCGCCGCGCCTCTAAAGGTCCTCAATGGTTTGACTGGACCTGGGAAGTACGTGACCTCAACCTCCCCGGCGCGCCAGGCCTGGAAGAGCATGGGGTGGCCAGGGGGTCCTGTCCCGGCTCCCCTCGCTGCGTAACAAAGCACCCAAGTCCCGGTTTTCTGCCCAAAGTGGGCAGGGCGCCCAACCCACGTGGCTGTCGTGGGAACAAAGTTAACTGCCGTCTCGAGGGGGCTGGCCTGGCCTCGCCAATTCCCCGGGAGGTGGCCAGAGACGCCGGACGGAGCTCAGCCTGCTAGATTCCATCACAGTTGCCCCTCTGGTCCCTAGCACCTCCCACCTCTGCCCTGCCTGGTTCCTCCCCTGACAGCTACGGCGGGAAGACAGGCTCAGAGACCAGGGCTGGTTTTGTGCCTTTTAACAGCTTTACTGGATGTTATCTACACACTACACACTCCACCTGTTTAAAGTGTGCAATTCAATGGTTTTGAGAGAGATGTACAACCACCACCATAGTCTAATTCCAGAACATTCCATCACCCAAAAGACATCCCCGTTAGTTATCACCTCCCCCCCCCCCCAGCCCTCACGAGCCCCCCCTTGTGTCCGTGGATGAGCCTGTTCTGGACGTTGCACACACTCGGACTCACACCCCGTATGGCCTCTCGTGTCTGGTTCCCTCCCTCAGCGTCGTGCGTTCAGGGTCCTTCCGCGCGGGGCGGCGGGCGTGGGCGCCTCGCTCCTGTTGGCGGCCGTGGGACGTGCGCGTGCACGGCAAACACGTTTATCTGTGGACGTGCGCGTGCGTGGACACACCTGAGTGACGTGCGCGTGCGCGATGGGCACATTGACCGTCCGTCCCTTGATGGGCATCTCGGTTGTTTCCATCTTCGGTTGTCGTGATTCCTCCTGCTGAGAATATCCCTGTAACGGTTTTGTGCAGATATATGTTCTTGTCTCTCTTGGGGACATGCCTAGAAGCCGAACTGCTGGGTCATACGGTAACTCTGATGATGAATGGTTTACAGAACCGGTTTCCCGAAGTGTCTGCCCCCGGCGGGCACATTTTGGGTGCTTGCTGTGTGCCAGTGGGAAAACTATCTCTCTCGATCTTACGTCGGGTGAAGCAAGCACTGGGCTTGGTGCTGTTGCACAGATGAGGCCACCAAAACTGCAAGCGGGCGGCCAAGCACCCCTGGACGCACGGCCCGGCCCTGGCAGGTGCTCAGATCTGCACACATGCTCACAGCAGCAGGATTCACAATTCGCGGGATGTAGAAACAGCCCAACTGTGCATGGATGGATGAATGGATCAACACACAGCCCGCCCACTCGGCCGCGAGCAGGAGCGAGGACACCCGCCGTCTGCAGGGCTGAACACACAAAACTCAGGGAGGGAACCAGACACGAGAGGCCACGCAGGGTGTGAGTCCATGTGTGTGAAACGTCCAGAACGGGAAAATCCAGCTTGGGGGCCAGTGAAAGCAACATGCCTCCAGCCCATAATTCCCTCGGCCTCCCCACGACTCTCGGGGAGTAGAGAAGCAGCACGATTGTTATAACTTCATAGACCTACCTGCGGGGCGGGGAACAGCCGCACGCATGCTCATTTGGGACTCGTGCTTCTCTTAATGATCAGCGTCAAAGAGAAACACCCCAACAGGACGAGGGAAACTTAGGAGGAGTTAGGAATGCAGCGTGCCGCCCTGGGAACCCCCCACTTCACTCCTGCCCCCACCAGACTGGGGGCCCCGGGCCCCAGCTGCCCCTTTTCCCTGTGGGCCACAGGGTCCTCCAGGAGAAGACCGTTTCCAAGCGGGGTGCGGGGGAACCCCCAACCATGCCATGGGGACGGGGGCCTGCCCCTGCCCCAAAGGAGACCACAGACTTGGCACCTCCTATTCAACCTTTATTTGCAAACTCCGAGGTCTGACATGGTGCCAGAGACTCTGGGTGCTGTCATTGGCTCCCCTTGCCCCTCCCCCCACTTCTGGGGCTGGGAGGGGACGGCTGTCACAGCCCAGCCTCTGCCCCATCCCACCCCGCCCCCACCCCAAACCGTGTAGCTAGACTTCTCTCTCTTTCACCCGGACCTGCCAATTTCGGGTTTGGGATTCCAGCAGGCCGCCCCTGGCCTGAGGGCCTCAGTGATTAGCCAGAGCCTCCGGGGGCGGGTCCCTGCACCCCCCTGCCCAGGTTCCAGTCTGGAGCAAAGGAGCAGGATGGCAGTGCCTGCACAGACACACGTCTGCCCCCTACTCAGGTGTCTCTAGGTCGGGCCAGCAGCTGGACCTGGGGTGGTGGCGGGGGGGCCCCCGCACACAGCGGTGGGCAGCCTACAGCGAGGACGCTGCGGAGTGAGGGGCTCCCGAAGGCCACGGCCAGCGGGGCCAGTACCACGGCCTGGGCTCGGCCGCGGTGGCAGCCGGGGTGGGCGACTGCGGCGGAATGCGGGGAGGCCGCTGGGAGGGATGGGTCCTGAGCAGGAGCCGCGACGCTCGTCCAGCGTGGAGGCCGGGGGGGGGGGGGGGGCAGGCAGTGCAGCTGAGCGGGGAGCGGCCGAGGCAGGTGTAGCAGGAGGCGGGGCGGAGGCGCAGCAGCTGGAGCGGGAGCGGCCGGGCCCAGCGGTCACTGCCTGCTGGGTGTGGCCAAAGTACCTGGGCGGGCAGTAGGAGAGGTGGAGGTGGCCCAGGACGTGGGCGGGGCCGTGGCGTTCTGCGCGGGGGCACACGTACGTTGGGGTGTGAGGCCAGGGCCCGCCGCCCCTTATGCCCTCCCGCCCTGGGCCGCACACGCACACTGCCCGCTGCTGCCGCCCCCCAGCGAGCAGGCCGTGCCGCGCCAGGCACTCACCCTGGCACGGCCCCTCTGTGTCCCGCTGCACACACGCGCTGCTGGTCACCTGGGGGCCCGGGGGCCGCGCCGTCATGTCCTCGGCCGTCCCGTAGAGCAGCAGCGTGTAGCGGTACAGCGTCCCTGGGCGGGGGTCGCGGGGGGCACGGGGAGAAGGGGGACAGGCTGTCGGCACCTGGTCCGCCCTCCTGGCTCCTCTCCCCGGCCGCCCCGCCCCGCCCCGGAGTCCCAGACGCCCATGGCCCCCAGGCCGGACGCCCACCGGGCGCCGGTAACTGGCATCTACTATTCTCCGAAGATACCCGCTCAGTGTCCCAGGGAGACCCCGGACCCCTCTGCAGCGGGGGATCCCAGGCCGGTCCAGGGCCCGAGGCCCCAGCCTGGGTGTCGCTCTCACCCGTGTTGAAGTAGTAACCCTTGTTTTCCAGGCCCAGCGTCCACGGGCCCCGCGGGTCCTCGTCCCAGAAGTGGGTGGACATAAAGATCCAGTTGTTGTAGCCTTGGCCGCTGACGTCCAAGGGTCTGGGGCAGGAGGGAGGGTGGGTGGGGGTGGAGAGGGGGCTTCAAAGCCCCAAGGACAGTGGGGTCTGCAGGGCCGAGCACGGCTGTTGGCGGGGCTCCCGAGAGGGGAGCGCGTCGGGTGTCCGGCCTGAGCAGACCCCCCCCCCCCCGACCCCACAGCACACTGCCCACACCCGGGGAAGGACACAGCGGCTGCCACGGGGCCAGGTACCCCACCCCTGCACCTGATGGCCACGAGCGTGGAGCGGGTGCCCATGGGGCTCGTGAGCGAGATCTCCAGGTCCCCGCGGCGACTGTAGGACAGCGAGAGCCGCACCTGCACGTGCTCCAGCGAGCGGATGTGGTTGGCTCGGCCAGCGCACGCCGACACGTTCCTCCTCACTTGCGTCAGCGGCAAGATGGGGCTGGGGGCAGCGCGGGCTGTGAGCGCCCCTTCTGCGGGCCTGCGGGGGGGGTGGGGTGGGGGGGGCGGGGCACCGGGGTCTGGGCTCACGTCGTGGAGCCCACCCTCTTTCTCATCTTATAGATGGGGAAAGTGAGGCAAAGGGTGCTGGGCCCCACGCGTCTGTCACCCCCTCCCCCGCGGCGATGACGGGTGCGGGGAGAGGACAGGCGGACACAGCGGAGGCGCGGCGGCGGAGGGCTGCTCACGTGGGGGTGTGTACGATCTCAATGACGCACTTCTGCTGGCGCTGTGTGGGCAGCCACGTTCGAGCCATGTCCACCAGCAGCCTGGCATCCAGCAGCCCATAGCCATAGTGGTGGCTCACTGCGTGGACGGGCGGTGGTCACTCGCCCTGGGGGCGTGGTGTCCCCCCCTCCGCCCGGCCCCGCCTCACCTTGGCGCCCCACGCCGTTGGTCCTCCAGTCCTCAGCCTGGAGCTGCGCGGGTCTGGACGCACGGACCACCAAGTGCTGCATATCCCTCCATGTCAAGAACGGGCTGGGGGCAGGCGAGGGTAGGTGAGCTGGGGCCGGGCCAGGCGGGGGGCGGGGGGGAGGTGAGCGCAGTAAGCGGGGTCCCCTCCAGCACCTACTTGGCCTCCAGAGCCAGGGCGATCATGCCCGCGGCCAGCGGGGCCGACGCCGAGGTGCCCGTGTGTTTGTCCGTGCACCGGTGGTGCAGATCCGTGGTGACCTAGGGGCAGAGACGGGGGCTTGGGGGGGACCGGTGCACAGGGAGACCCGGCCTTTGTGCAAAATGCATCAAGGGTTCAAGAAGGTGCCGCAGAGGTACCTCCAGGAACGGGGCCCTGAGCGCCACCCAGGTCACACAGCTGGGGAGCCTGCCCCGCCAGAGACAGGAGGGTAGACGAAGGGGTGAGGACACTGGGGCCTGGTCTTGGGACCCCTCTGTGTTCCAGGTGCCACAGGGCAGCCCTGGGAGGGGGGAAAGTGGGGGGCGGGACGGAAGGTGGGGGGAGGGGACGGGCAGGGAGGGGTGGGGGAGGGGAGGCGCCAAGGGGGAAGACCACAGGGTCGTGGGGGGAAGGTGGGACAAGGACAGATGGGAAGGGAAAGGAGACAGGGGGAGGGAAGGGAGGGGAGGAGGGGAGGGGAGGGGGAAGCAGGCGCGGAGGGGGGCCTCCCCCCGCCCCCCGGGTCCCCCCCCATCCCCGGCACTCACGATCTGCGGGTCGGTGGCCACGCCGCTGCTGTAGGTGGTGGTGAGCGTGGAGGCGCAGGCCTCGCTGTACCAGGGCGCGCGGCCCTCGCGGGTGGTGCTGCCCACGGAGAGCGTGTACACGCTGTTGGTGTAGCCGTCGCAGTTGCAATTGTCGTAGTGCAGGCCGCCGTTGCCCGACGCCCAGACGAAGAGAGTGCCCAGCCCACCGCGGCCCTGCACGCGGGCACGAGGGAGCGGATGGGCGCTTCGGCCTCCAGGGCCGGCCCAGGCCCTCCGAGGCCCCCGGGGTGGGCTCACCTTGGTCACGCCGCGCCTGAAGGCCTCGCGGGTGAGGACGCCCGGGCCGTCCACCGTGCGGCCGTCGTCCTCGGGGCCCCAGCTGGCGCTGTAGATGTGGATGTGCTGCGGCTGCAGGCTCAGCGACTGGGCCTCGATGACGTCCGTGATGGTGCCGTCCAGCATGCGCACGCCTGCAGAGGGGGGGGGCGTCCGGCCTCCGCGGTCAGCCCCGCCGCGCCCTCCCCCCCAGGCCCCCTCTGGAGCGGGGGCGTCTGCGCGGGGCTCAGCTCTCCCCCTACCTGAGCTTGGGACCTGCATCCCCCAGAGCCGCCTAACTCTGCCCGCAATCCCTGGGCGCCCCGTGCCGTCCGGGCCGCCCTCCGTCCCCGGGGTGCGGGAGCCGGGCCCCGATACCTCCGATCCGGGCATTGTAGGCGACACCCGCTCCACAGAACCCGTTGTTTGCGATTGCGGCCACTTCCCCGGCACAGCGGGTCCCGTGCCTGGCGCCAAGGCAGAGAGGGGGGCCAGTCCCAGCCCCCCCCGGCTCCCCACAAGGCACTGGCGCCACCCTCACACACCCCGCAGGACGCCGCCGCTCACCGGTTCTCGTCGCCGGGCGTGTATCGCGGCTGGGGGTCTGGGTCGTAGTCATTGAAGTCGTAGCTGGCCAGGGGGTCCTGGGGGCCGAGCGGGGGGCGTGAGGGACGGGGCAGGCCGTGGGACCTGGCGCAGCCCCCACCCCAGTCCCCACGGTCTCACGTAGTTGGCCCAGAGGTCCGGGTGGTCCTTCTCGATGCCATCGTCCAGGACAGAGATCACAATGCCCCGGCCCGACAGCCCCTGGCTCCAGACCTGCAGGACGTTCAGGTCCGGCCGCACCTTGTTGTTCTGTGCAAGGCAGGGGCCGGGGTCAGCGGGGCTCCGGCCCCGCCCGGCCCCACCGCCCGGCCCGGCCCGCTCACCATGTACCACTGCTTGGAGAACCAGGGGTCTGTGGGCACCACCACCGAGCGCTTGACACGCCGCCGCAGCGTCTGCTGTTCAAACCACTGCACCTGCAGACAGACGCGCGCTGCAGGAGGGCACCGGGCCCCCAGAGCCAGCCCGCCCTCCACCCCTCCACCCGCCGGTGCGGCTCGCACACCCGCGCACCTGGCGGGGCCTTGACCGGCTCCACCAAGCCTTTCCCACCAATTCTGGGCCGCGTGGCCCGAGTCTGCCTCCAGGGTCTGCGTCAGTCTCCTTCCCAAGCCCACCAGGGGACGACTCTATGTGGGCCGCGGCTGGAGCGGGGCTGTGTCTGGGTCGCCCGCTGCTTGTCCTGGGTCCGTCATGGTGTGGGACGGGGCCCGGGACCTCGTGCTTGCTGAGGCTGCTCTTTGGGGTCCCCGTGTGCCTGGGGCTCTGCCTTCAGAGGGGATCAAGGCCCTAGCACCAGTCCCCAGGGCCCACTGCTCTTGAGGCCCAGCCCTATCCCTTCCCCAGTCCCTGTTCTAGATCCTTCTGCCCAAGATCTGCCCATCTCCCTGCTGTAGCGGCCACCCCTCGTAAGACATCCCTGGATGGCCATACCTGCCTCCGCCCTGGTTCCCCACCCGCCCCCCTGCCTCCCTACAACACAGTAGCATCACTCGCTGCAGAGCCCCTCCCATGCTGCCCCCCTCTCCAGGGCCCACAAAGCCCCGCCTATCTGGCCCCCACCAGCCTCCCTCTGCTGCAGTCACAGTGGTGCCTCACCCCAGGGCCTTTGCACACAGCCATTCTGCCTGCCCCAGGTTGGTCTTCCTCAGACCTTTTTGTCCTTTCTTCCTTGTTGATCTCCCCACCCCCACCCCCGCCCTGCCCCGCCCTGAACCAGCTCCTGTGCCCTCACCCTCACCCCAATGATGGTGCAATTGTCTCCCCATGTGCCCAGCTCCAGACGCGGGAGCTGGCCCCAATTTCTCTCTGTCCCACACGTCTAATCCATTGGCAAGCCCTGGCCTCTCTCGTGCAAACCACACCTTGAACTGGCGACTTCTCCCCGTTCCCAGTGCTCCCAGTGGGTTTCAAGTGATCAAGCCTCTCGCCTCCATGCTGATCAGCCCCCCAGCCCAAACCCCACCTTGGCTCCTGAGGGTTTACAAGGTCAGCCTCAAGTCCCCAGCTTGGCATCGAAAGCCTTTTCCCAATCTGGCACCTCTCTGAGCATCTCACAGCCTCACTGGCTGACTTCAGGCAGGATTCCTACTCCCGGTCATAAAAAGGACCAATTCCCTTCTCTCCATCCCGTGAACTAGAATGTTATCTGCCGTCTTTACAGAGAATGTGGGAACCCTGACCTTTAGGGGGAGAGAGAAGGTGGGGGCGGGGGGGGGCCAAAAAGAAATGCTGACAGTGTGCCAAGGCCCCGAGGTGAGCTCAACATGCACACGTGCCCTGTTGCTGTCCACGGATGGTCCCTATCGTACAGACTGGGGGACCAAGTGGAAACCGAGACTCAGAGAGGGCAGGTGGCTTGGATAACAAGTGGCTGCGCAGGCTCACCTTGGGGTCTTTTTTCAGGCGCAGGCGATGGCCCCAGTGTGGGCTCAGGGACTGCTGGACCACGCCCCGGTGCCTCAGGTGGAAGTACTGCCCGTCAGGAAAGATCTGGGAACGCGAGGAGGCATCCGCAACAATGGCACCTGCCTCCGAGACGGAGTCCCCAGGACGGTGGCCAACATCCTCCCCCAACCAGGTGCGCCGCTGGGGGCTTCAGGTGCCCTCTGGGGGTCCCAGAGTCTGAAGCTGGTCGAGGCCTGGGTGAGCTGGGAGTCCTTGATATCTTGGGTACCCCTCCCGTCTGCCGGAGGGGTGTCCAGCCCCTGCCCCTCCTGTCCCTTCGGGTGCCACCCACCTGCCCCAGGTAGACGAAGCCGAATTTGCGCGCCAGGCGCTCGGCCTCCCGGTAACCCTGGGACACCCGCACGGCCCAGCTGCTGACATAGATGGGGACCCGGGCCGAGGACCACCCCACAGGCAGGGGGCCAACGAGGGCCAGGCCCAGAGCCAAGGCAAGGCGCAGCCAGAGCGCAGTCCAGGCGGGCCGCATGGCGGCAGGGGGCGGGGCCGGGGCGGGGCCTCCGAAACCCCTCCCCCCGGCCAAACCGCCGAGTGGGCCCAAGCGCCCGCCCCGCCCCCGGGGCCATAGCAACCCCTGAAAGGCGTCAACTCCCAGGAGTCCTTGCGGCTGTCTCCCCCCCCCCCCGCCCCCACCTCAAGGAGCGCAAAGATCCGGCCGAAGACGGGGCGGGGGGGGCGGGGAACACCCCCGCCCTGGTCTTCCACAGATCCAAACCCTCTGGAGCCTCAGTCTCCCTCATTTGTACAGTGACCAAAACTTCCGACCGACCTAGAGGAGAGTGTTCAAGGTTGCTCCCCCTGGCCCGCTCCTTTATCCCCGCCCCCTTGAGTGCCCACCCCTCCCTCTAGAATTAGTCCTGCCTCCTACCCGGCCCAACCGGAATTGTTCTTCTGAGTAAGTCCCGCCTCCCCAGCTTAGCTCCGTCCCATCCCCCCCTCCTCCGAGAGTCTGTCCCCCGCTCCTTTATGGTCAACCCCGCCCCTCCTCTGTTCTCGCCAATCAGCTCTGGTCTTTCTCCAGTTCCTCCCGTCAGCTCCGCCCCTCGGCACGCTTCTCTCCTCCTCCCCCAGCTCCACCCCCGCAACGGCTCAGCCAATAATCCCCGGCCATGACCCCACCCCTCCAATCAGCTACGTCCCGCTTCCGCTCCGCCAATCGGCACCCTCGGCCTCCGCGCCCCGCCCTCTGCCCCCGGCGTCGCAGCTGGGGCGGCCGCGGCCCGCCAGAGGGCAATGCGGCGGGGGAGAAGGGGCAGGCCCCACCTCCTTTGTCCGCCCTGCCCTCCCATTGGCCGGAGTGGGGGGCAGGGGGCGGAGACCAGCGCAGGGGCGGAGACCAGCTCGGGGGCGGAGCGGGGCTTCTCGCACCTGGGTAAAGCGGCACGCGCGCTGCGGGGCAGGTGTGCGGGGCCGCGGTCGAGCTCGGGCTGCCAGGCCCCGGCTCGCCGGTGTCATGGACGGCCTGCGCCAGCGCTTCGAGCACTTTCTGGAACAAAGGAACTTGGCCACCGAAGCGCTAAGGGCGCTCGAAGCCAAGACAGGTGTCGACAAGCGGTACTTAGCCACGGGTGAGCAGTCCGGGGCGCTCTGGGCTCCTGTCCCATTTCGCCGATGGGCACACTGAGGCCCTGGGGCAACGGGGTCCCGGGCCTGGCCCCTTCCGGCCGGCGTCTTCTGCAGGGTCCGGGCTCGGACGGTGGGGAGCACCCCCCTGGTGAGACAGATCCTGAGGGGTCATGGACCAGGACTTTGCGTCTGCCCGCAGCCCCTCCTCTGCCCTCGCCCTGCGACCTCTGGCTAGTGTCACTCCCTCTCTCGGGCCCAGTGGTACCTCCACTCCAGTCCTCAGGTCTGGAGACCGTTCGCTGCCCCCTCCGTCGTGGCCCTGGGTGAATTCCAGGCCAAAGTCCGGTTCTTCCAGTTGCTCGGTCCACCCTGGGGGAGGGGAGAGCGGCGGGTAGACAGCCAGTGCCCTGGGAGTCTTGCCACACCCCCGTCCCACAGGAACATCAGCCTGGAAGCAAGGGTAGAGATTTTTCCATCCCCCCCCCCCCCCCCCCGCGCCCGGCGGGGAGGAGAAGGGTCACTCCCACTCCCCTCTCCCCATTGTTTTTCTACCAGTCACCTCCCCTTGGCGTGCGAGCCGTGTCCCTCTCCCACCCTGAGCTTTGGCCCACTGTGCCTAACTAGTTGAGCTGGGTTGTTTGACCCTGTGGTGGGGTTGGGCAAATATTGGCTGGGGGGCCATAGAGCCGGGAGCCAGCCCTTCTGACTGCTACCCCTCCAGTCCCCCTCCTCTTCCTCTTCCTCGGTGGCCTTGGATGCCCCCTGCCACTCTCCCAAACTGTCTAGTAAGTACTCCTTAAACGCTCCCTCCCCTCTTTTTCCATGTCCCAGGCCCCAGGCCACCTCTTCCAGGAAGCCCCCTGGAGCGAATTCCAGGAACACTTTGTCCAGAAGTGGGGGGGGGGGGTGTTGGGTGAGGACAGGGACACATGTACTGAGCACCTTCTGTGTGCAGATCCCAGCAGTCCACTTTCCTCCCATTTTCCCCCAGCTGGGGAATCCATGCCAGGCAGGGAAGGTCCACAGTTTACTCCCCCAGGCCTCCAGTGCCCAGGCCATGTCAGCCTAGCCAGGAACCTGTCCCTGGGAGCAGGCCCTGACTTCTCTGCTGACTTTCCACATCCCTGATACCCGTGGGCAGGGCTTTAGTCATAGAGCACTGGGGAGGGGCCTATCGGGGAAGCTGGGAGGCACAGGGGGGGAAACTGAGGCCCAGAGAGTCAGGGGCTTTGTGGAAGGCTGCCTCTGACCTCCTCCTCCCCCCCCCGCCGCCCGGGGGGGGCGTGCGCCCCTCCCTACCCACCCCCCTCCCTGAGCCCTGTCTGTTGCTGATCTCTGGGATGGTGCCCCCCCTCAAATGTCCAAGGTCATCCCCCCGTTGCTGAGGCTGCAGGAATAGGGATTGAGGGAGAGGTGCCCTGGGAAACCTGCTCCCCCCAACTAGCAATTGGGGGTGACATCCCCCTTGGGCCCCACCCGCCCCAGATGGTCAAATCCCCAGCCCAGGTAACAAAGGAAACCCAGACGAGGCAGTGACCAGACCTCCTGGGGCCAACTGGGGAGGCCCCCTTCCCTGTCCTGACCGCAGACCCGAGGGATAAAGACTAACCCAGGTGGAGGGAAGGGAGGGGGTGCCCTTTGGTACGCAAGTGACCTCTGTCTCTACCGATAACCGCCTGGGGAGGAGGCCTCCCCAGGCCGGAGGCTGTAAAATGCTCCCAGGAGCCCAGAGGCTCTCTGAGTGACCTTGGTCCTCCCAGCTGCCCTGTTCTGGCCAGTGAGTGAGACACAGCAGGGAAGCACAGAGACCCGCGCACTTAACGAAGGCAGTGTTTCCGAGGACTCTTTGCAGAGCAGCTAACACTCCTGGCTCCCCACCTCCCCCAGCAGTGTGTGCTCCGGGCCCCGTCACTGGGAATGTGTTTGTACCCCCCAGAAGGTGCTCGGCAAACCTGTAGAAAAGAGGAGCTCTCTCTGTTGAGTGGTGTTAGCTATCCCCAAGGCCGCCTGAGGAGGCAGGGTCATTACCACCCCATTGGCAGATGGGGAAACTGAGGCTCCAAGCAGAGAGAAAGACTCGCTCGGTGTCACGCAGTGAGTGGAAAACGTTCAGCTGTCTCCCGCTAAGACAACAGCCCTCGCCTGAGGCTATGCTGTCCCCCTCGGGGTACTGAACAATGTCTGGGGACATCTGTGGTTGTCGCGGCTGGGGGCGCTCCTGGCACGGATGAGTGGGGGCCAGGGATGCTGTTCAGCCCCCGCAGCTCCCGGGGCGCCCCCACGAAAGATGTTCTGGCCAGGATGAAAAACCGTATTGAGATAAAGATTACCAATGTTGCCTTTCTCTGCTCACTGGGAATCAAGTCTTCTTTTTTTAACGTTCATTTATTTTTGAGAGGGAGAGAGACAGAGCTTGAGCGGGGGAGGAGTAGAGAAAGACAGACACACAGAATCCGAAGCAGGCTCCAGGCTCCGAGCTGTCAGCACAGAGCCCGACGCGGGGCTCGAACTCACGAGCTGTGAGATCTTGACCTGAGCCGCCCAGGCGCCTCCGGGAATCACATCTTAAAGAAGGAATGAACAGCCTTACTTCTAGGTTTTTCTCCCGTTGTTTGCGTTCAAATGCTGGGCTTTTGTGCCCGGCCCTCCCCTCGGGACCCAGAGTAAGGCAATTATGATTGCAGGTGGTCACTTACTCATTCAACACGTGTTTATTGGGCAACTAGTCTACCCATCAGGGCCAAGGTCCCCACCTGCCCTTGGGGAGTTCACAGTTCGGGGGTGGGGGGGACCGACTGATAACTGGTTGCACGTACGAGGAGACACGGGGCTCAGGGCCATAGTAGGCGTCACCAGGGCGCTGCGGGGGCAGCAGGCCTATCCCGGAGGGGTCTCTCGTAGGGGCAGCGAGTGTGGCAGCCTGGGTCTGCCAGGCCAGGAGGAGGCCTCCGGTGCCAGGGTCGGCTCGGAGCGCGCCGCCCTGCCCACACCCTCTCCTCCCGCAGGAGCCGCCACTCTGCTAAGTCTGTATCTTCTGTTCGGCTTCGGGGCGTCTCTACTGTGCAATGTAATCGGATTTGTGTACCCAGCATATGCTTCGTGAGTGCCCGCTGGCTGTCCGGGTGTTGGGAGGGGGTGTCGGGGGCTCTGGACAGCCCCTGACTCTGCGCGCCTCCCCGCCCCCAGAATCAAAGCTATCGAGAGCCCAAGCAAAGAAGACGACACTGTGTGGCTCACCTACTGGGTGGTGTATGGACTGTTCGGGCTGGCCGAGTTCTTCAGCGACCTACTCCTGTCCTGGTTCCCTTTCTACTACGCGGGCAAGGTGGGTGGCCCCCGGGACGCACGCAGGTGCCCGGGAGGCCAGGGGTGCGAGGGGGAGACCCGGCCCCTTCTCTGCGGAACTAGCCCCCCGCCCCCACCAGGGGCGTCTGATGGAGGCGGTCCATCTGGTGGGGGAGGCCCGCCCTGCACGGGTCTTGACCCCCCGCCCCGTGCCCGCAGTGCGCCTTCCTGTTGTTCTGCATGGTTCCCGGGCCCTGGAACGGGGCTCACATGCTGTATCATCGCGCGATACGGCCGCTGTTTCTAAAGCACCACGAGGCCGTGGACAGCGTCGTGAGAGACCTCGGCGGGAGAGCCCTGGACGTGGCAGTGGGAATAACCCGGGACGGTGTGTGCTCACAGGGTGCGGGGGGGTCGGTCCGCCGCAGGCCCTGTCCGTCTGTGCCCCCCACCCGCCTGCCCCTGCCCACTTTCCCTTCCCTCCGGCCCCTGCCTGGCCCCTGTCTGGCCTCCGTGTGGCTGCACCCCCTCACTGTCAGCCTCTCTCTCCTACGCTTTCGGGAACCAGTCATGCAGACCCTGGCCCGCGGCCGGGCTCTCGTCACCCCCGCCGCTGCCCTTGGAGCCCAGCGTACGTACTCCCGGGCCTGGGCGGCGGGGCCCGCGTGTGCAGGCGCTGTCCCCACGGAGGGTGGGAAGACGGCCCCGGCCCCGGCCGCCTTGCCCCCGACTGACTCCCTGCGGCCCCCGGGCCGGGCCTGCCTCACCCCCCCCATGGCCATCTCTCTGCAGCCCAAGCAAGCGTGACCCAGCCCCAGAAGGACAAGTGAAACCCTCGTCCAGCCGCTACGCAGACCTGCCGCCTGGCGAGCAGGGGGGCACATCACACCTCAAGCCCTCCACGAACTCCTCGACTGATGCCTCGGGGGAGCCCCCCGCCAGCCCCGCCTCCCCGAGCAAGCCGCTCCCCGGGAGCGCCTCCCAGACCACCTCGGGCCAGTCCCCGCCGGACCCCCCGGCCGGCGGCTCCCGGCTGCCCTCCAAGTCCCAGAGCCGGCTTCGGCTCCGGGCACGAGTGAGCTCCTCCGGCCAGCCGCGCCCCCAGTCATCTGTCACCTCCTCGGGCCAACCCCAGCCGGCCCCCCAGCCCGCGGGCCCCAAGCAGCGCACCAGCACCTCCCCCAGCCAGGGTCCCCCCGTGGCACAGCCCCCCGGGAAGGCCTCGGACGGGCCGGGGGAGCCGGCCCCCCAGGCCTCCAAGGGCAGCCCACCGCCCACCAGCAGCACCTCGGCGCCCCAGCTGCCGGCCCCCTCCCCGTGCGGGTCCTCGGCCGAGTACACGTCCGAGTCCACCACGGAGGTCACGTGCAGCTGGCCCCACCTCAGACACCGGCTTCGCTGCCTCCAGCACTGCTGGCGGCTGAAGCATCTGGCCTGCTAGGGGGGCTCAATAAAGCTCATCCGACGACCCGTGTGGCCGTGTCCTCGGGGGTGGGGGAGCCCCTGGCCGGCGTCTCCCGATCCGGAGCCGACGCCGTGTGCCCCGCTTCGCAGACGTGGAGACTGAGGCCCGGAGCGGCGCCCCCGCCTGCCTGAGGTCTTGCCGCGGGGCTGAGAAGGATCACAGAGGAGAGCTCGAGAGAGAACTGGCATCTGAGTCCTTTATTTGGGCGGGGTGTGCGTTGGGGGGAGAAAGGAGCTCTGGGGGCCAGGGTCACCGACACGCCTGAGGCTTTCCCTGCCCCCGTCCCACCGGGGGTGGGCGGGGGGCAGTGGTCCTCCCCTCCAGCCCGCGCCCCCTGCCAGCAGCACCTGGCCCGGGACCACAGGGTGCCTCCAGCCAAGGTGGGGGGCCGGAGACTGGGGGAAGACGGGGTGTCGCCCGCAGGGCCTCCCACAGCCCGTGGCTCCTCTCCTGTCTCGTCTTGTCTTTAGTTGGTTTCTTTCTTTTTTTTTTTTTTTTTTTAAGTTTACTTCTGAGAGAGAATCCCAAGCAGGCTCCCCGCAGAGCCTGACGTGCGGCTTGAACTCACGATCCCTGAAATCATGACCTGAGCTGAAACCGAGAGCTAGACGCTTAACCGGCCGAGCCCCCCCAGCGCCCCTAGTCGGTTTCTTTTTTGACACCAACGTGACCCTGATCGTAAAACCAGGCAGAGACACAAGGAAGGAAGGAAGGAAGGTGCCCAGCCCGTTGTGTGGATAGAGACGCGAAGAGTCTAAGAAAGGGCAAACTCAATCCAACGGCGTCTTCAAAACAATAGAACACCCCCCATTCGAGGTGGGGTTCCTGGAGGCAGAGCCCGAGTGGGAAGCTGGGTGGGTGGGTGGGGGGGCGCTGAGCAAGGAGCTGGTCTCGGCTGGGAGACACGACCCTGAGCAGGAAGTGGACCCTGCATTTCTGCCCCAGGCAGGCGGGGTGTCACCTGTGTCTCCTCCAGAGTCTCAGCCCCACCCGAGAGGGGGCTGTAAGCTCATGGCTCGTCCCATCCAAAGGCGAGTCCCTAGCCAGGCATCTGCAGACACACTAGGAAGGCCCCGGGGCCCCGCAGCGTCCAGCTCGGTCAGCCCCCCACCCAGGACCTGCTTCTCCAAGATCCCAGTTGGTCACAGCCCTGGGGGAAACACGGAGGAGCGTCAGGATGAACGAGGCAGATGCTCACAACGCTTATACCTCCGAGGTGCTCCGCTGGGGGTGATGCTGCCCCAGGGGCATCAGACGATGTGGAGACACTTGAGGTGTCTGTGCCGTGTCCCACAATCCCTCTCCCTGCCCCGGCAGTCCCAGCTTGTCCGCAGCTGGTGGTGGCCACTGGCGAGCGATGGGTCCGATTCATTCATTTGATCATTCAGCAACTATTGAGCACCCACTGTATGCCAGGCACTGTTCCAACAGTCAAGGGAAGAGTGATGGCCCAGAGAGAGAAAAAATCTCTGCTCCTGAGGATTTGGAGAGGCGACAATCAGCATGATAAACATGGATGTCAGAGGGAGGTGAATGTTCTGGGGAAACATGCAGTGGGGAGGTGGGGGGTGGCGGCGACAATATCAGGAACAGTCAGAGAAGGACCTGTCTGCGGGAGTGACATTTGAGTAGAGGCATGAAGGAGATAGGAAAGTCAGGTCAGAGGCACGAGTCTTGCGAAAGCCAGGGCAAAAGTGATCCGGGCAGAGAGAAGAGCACGTACAAAGGTCCTGAGGTAGGACTGTGCCTGGCGGGCTAGAGGAAGAGCGGGGTGGTCAGCGTGGATGGAGCTGAATGAGGGGGAGAAGGGAGGGGAGTGTGGGGTGAGCCTGAGCACACGGACACCCGGAAGGCATGGTGAGGACTTTGGGTCTTGCTTGGGGACGCAGGCTTCGCTGGGATCGAGGGTAATCATTAATGAGTCCCCCGCCCTGCTGAGAGGTCCACACGGGTTTTGGGGACAGGGATCTGGGAATCTGCTTTTCACTGGCCCAACTGTCTGAACAACGTGGGGTGGCCGTAGTCCGGGGAAAGGGTGGCGGTACCGGGCTCTCTCTGCACCTGGCACCGTCCCCCGCCATCCAAGGGGGACAGCACAATGGGCTCTAGAGGCGTCCCTCCAAAGATGGTCCCCGGCCCACCCAGGGTCAGCTCACCACGTGGGAACAATGACATCTAGCCCCTCGGACTTGTTTTTTCACTTAACATACGGAAGAGTGTAAGCAGTGACTCGGGGACAACACGGCCCCTCCCAGCCACCGGGCAGTGGCCACGTGCTTCCCTGTCCAGCTCAGAGCCGTGTCCATCAGACGCACCGCGTCGCTGGAGGGGTCGCTCACACGGTAGTGTCTGGGGCTGGTGGACAGGATTCATTTGGCTCGTGCGCACCATCCACCGTCGATGGAATGGTCTCCAGCTTGTGGTTACTGCGACTCAAGCTGCCAGGAACATTCTAGAACCGGCCTTCGGTGAGCAGAGCTCTGGTTTCCCCGGGGCGCACACCTGTCAGAGAGTGCAGGGCGAGCATTTCTGAGTGTCGTGGGGTGGCTGGAAAGAGCCACGAGCACGCTGGGAGGCTTAACATCACAGACGTTTATTCTCCCACATTCTGGAAGCGGAGGTCAGGGCGTGGCGGGACCGAGCTCCTCCCTCGGCAGGCTCCAGGGCAAGGTCCTGTCCACCTGTCCCAACTCCTGGAGGCCCCAGGCGTCCCTGGGCTCGTGGCCGCGTCCCTCCAGTGCCTGCCTCTGTGGCCATGTGGCTGTCTCCTCTGTCTCCATCTAACAAAGACACTTGTCGCTGGGTTTAGGGCTCACCTTGGTAATCCAGGATGATCTCGTCTTCAGACTCTTAGTTACGTCTGAAAAGGCCCTTTTGCCAAACAAGGTCCTGGTCACAGGTTCCGGAGACTAGGGTTCAGCCCGTCACTGTGCGCGTACCTTCATCTGGAGCAGATGTGGCCAAGCTGTACCCCAAAGTGGTCCCGCCAGTGCCCCCTGTGACCCGCATGTAACCCTGTGGGCTGTAGGACGGCCCGGGGCTCTCAGCGGCGGTGGGGGCCCAGGCCCTCCGTGGGTTAACCCTGGCTCAGGGTCAGAGAGAGTAGGCGGGCCCGGGGCAGGCATTAGGGGGGTGCTGGCCGCAGAGAATTAAAAATAGTAAGAAAAGCATCAGGACCCCAGAGCCAGCGTTCTGCGACGTCGTGGGGAAAACTTCAGGGCGCGAAGGAAACAATCATTACCAGAATCGCCGTGTTACTGACCGGACGCAAGCTTCGAACTCGCATTTGTGTTCTTTACCCTTTAACAGACCCTGTGGCTTCAGAGAAGCCCCAGTGATGACCCACCTGTCGCGGCCAAGGGAGCTCGCCGCAGGGAAGTCTGACCGTCCTCGCTCGTGGTCCCTTCCGGCGACCACATGGGCACTGTGTATCCCCGTGGGGACACAGGGACTGCGAAAAACCGAGACCGGGGATGGTAGAGAGGACGACACAGCCCTGGGGCCACCCCGTTTCTGTCGTTCTCTGAGCACCTGGAGTGCGTGTTCGTGTGCGGGATTTGAACATCTGTACAATTCCAGCGGCGTCTTCTCTCTCTTAAGTGTTCAAGTGTTTGTCTTATTTCCTTTTATTTTAATTTTTTAAATGTTTATATATTTTTTTGAGACAGAGAGAGACAGAGCATGAACAGGGGAGGGTCAGGGAGAGGGGGAGACACAGAACCCGAAGCAGGCTCCAGTCCCCGAGCCGTCAGCACAGAGCCCGACGCGGGGCTCGAACTCACGCACCGTGAGATCATGAGCTGAGCCGAAGTCGGAGGCTCAACCGACTGAGCCCCCCAGGCGCCCCCTCCTGTTTCTTTTAAAGCGAAAGAGCAAATCAGGACATCAAGGGACCGTCCGCGGCGACTGGTACGCGATCGGCCCTGGAAACAATGTTGCCTCACGGAGCGGGGTGCCACTCAGGGGTCCTGTCTGCCAGGGCGCATCCCGCACTGGTCTCTCCTCCACCGGCTGGGCCAGCCGGTCCGGGAGCTCGGGCAGGGCTGCCCCGTGGACCACCCCCCCCCCCCCCCCCCCCGCGGGCCCGCCGGGCCGGGGGGCCGGGGGGGGGGGCCCCCGGGGCCCCCCCCCCCCCCCCCCCGTCCCCAACATAGCCCACTCAGTGGCAGAGGTGCAGGGACAACCTCGGGCAGCCCTGACGGGCACAGAGGGCCCTTGGGTGTAGGTGCCAGTGTCAGGAAGCCAGAGTGTGGGGAGAGGTGTTGCTGAGGAAGGCTAGCACCCAGGGGAGAGGCAGGGGCCGTCTGGGTGCAGGCATCGCCAGGTGCCTAGCGTCCCTTCCTTTCCCGTCCTACCACTAGGGGGCACCCAGGCCCCACACCACCCTCCAGCGCTGTGCCCCGTATAACACCGGCGGGGTGGGGGGGGGGGGGGCCCCAGGGGCGCCCCCTTCCGTTCCTGGGGGGGGGGGGGGGGATGGG